TTTTGGAGCACATTTGGAAACACATCTGGCATCATGTAATGCTTTGCTATGGCTGAATGAACACTTCGAAATTCAGCAGCATCTAGGTGCATCAGTCTAGCTGAATTGTCTACGTCCGATGACCTTTCAGTCTGGTTCTATGTGGCTAAATGCATGTCAAAAATGTTTTAGCTGCGTAATCCCAGGAACATCTAAAACGTAGGAAAAAGTGATCTGGAAAGCATAATGTTTATATTTCCCATATAACTGTTCCTGTGTTTAACGCAGAAGGTCCTTGTTTGAGGCCTAAAGTGTATGTCAAGCCAAAGACGTTTTTATTCTGGGTTTTGGAGATAGTGAGGAAAGATTATAACTCCTTTTGGGTTTTTACTGCTATCTGGGGCTCCGTTAGAGACAGCCACCCTCACTTTCTATCCTGGTGACAGCAGTTTTACCAGACAGGAAGGGACAGTGACACAGACAGAAAGACAAATCTGGCAGGGGTTCTAGTTTTCCCCACTCTACTAAAGACAATCGTTTGTGTCCGTTTTTGTTGCTGTTGGAGAGTTCCCCTCACTTCCTGTGTGGTAAAAAGTTTTCAGCAGGACAGGAAGTGAGGGGATTTTTTTTTTAACACAGCCCTGACATGGGTACTGACCCTTTGGAGCATGCCAGCAGTCACCAGAGAATACAGATCTGCCTTCATTCATCAAAATATAGGCAAGATTAGTTTGTTTATGGCCAGATATAGATGGTTTCCTATACATGATGATGGGGCTCTAGGGAGCTAAATGGATTTAAAAGTAACTATTTTTACACTCCAAGAATGAATTACAGGCCAAGCTGACCGCCCTGCATTCAGGGAACCCATTCGAAATATATGGAGGCAGCCATTGCTAACTTCCTTGTTTGTCTGTCTCGGTTTTCGATACTTTGAGCTGCAGGCTCAAAATATGAATGCAACAACTAAAATCAAATTGAGGTCAGAACGTTTGATACACATATATGAGTACTTACGCTAGTGGATCACCATGACTCCCAGGCAACTAGCATTCTCATAAGGAGATAGCAGCAACTGCAGTCTCTATATTTCTCAGTTGGATTCACACTCATACGCTTGTGGTAACATGCACTTAAACCCGAGCGTTAAGGTGCGTTACTGCAACACACATTATTGCGCTGCATATGTGCGTCACACTATATAGCCATCTTTAGGGCAAAAGGCTGCTATTGCTGACCACTGCATATGACAATGTTGGTTACCTGGTCCTTGCTTACAAGTGTCCCCTCCCCATTGGAAGATTCCTCTAACCTCTTGTTCTGGGGACAGCTCTATCATTTTGGATTTCCTTTCCCCTTTGTACAAATACAGGGGTAAAGCTCCCCAATTGGGTCATAGCCAACAAAAACTTGACAGAAGGTCTAACCCTTCCCCACTTGATCCAACCAGAGATCTACTTTGTTCCTAACATTGGGAGACTCAATGATTACAAATGTCTGCTGCATGCCAAGCCCCGTTTTGGTGAAATACTCCCTTTAAGAGGCCGCAAAGAAAAATGACACATACCAACCAATCAGATTTCTCTTTTCATCACTAGAAAGCAGTTCAAATAGACAGAGAGGTTTTTCTGGGTGGTTATAGGTTGTCACAATGTACTCTTTAACAAAACTTGGAAAAAAGTCACCTGAATAGACATTCTAACAAATGAAACATTTCCTCATACTGTCATTTCAATGCAAAGACTTTCAACATCTTAAACAAATTCAGACAAGACTACGTATTTGCATGTGGTCTGTGTGCCGGAGTTGCACAACTTTGGGTTTCCAAGAATTTGTGTTTTGACAGTTTCCACGACCAAGACAGACATTGTGACATGCTTAGGAGATTAAAGAGGTTTCCATATGATTGAAGGCCCATTCAGACCAGTCCATTCTTGTGCGTTGCATTAAGGCGCTTTTTCGAGTGCCTACACATGCGTTATATATTAAGGCTGCCAGAGCACACTATGGATCCAAAAAAAATGGACATGCAGCATTTTTTATTTTCCAAACCAGTGCACCACAAGGGATGGAAGTGTGTTACTGTGCGTTCTGGTCCACTGTAACGCATGTGTGTCAAAGCTGCACTGCCTTAGTGCATGGGGATGCCATTCATAATGTACTTTACCGCAATGTGCTTACTCACAAAGTGTGCATTGCTGTAACCTTGTTCTATGTTACGTAAAAATGATACATGTTCTATTTCCTGATACATACCCTATTTCCTTACCACACTTGTGTGAACTGAAGTCATAGGACACAAGGCTATTTCCCAAAACTGGTGTGAGCAAAATGTTACAAAACTTATTACAAAAGGATCAAATCTTAACCTGAAATTGCACAGTTTTAGGCCCCTTCCACATGGGCTGATTAGGAGGAGATCCAGGCATAGAGCCCTTCCTGACTGGAGTGATATGGATCAGATGTCATTGCGGTCATCTTGCAATGGAGGAAAGAACTGAAATGACAGGACCCCACGTCAGTCTTTGGACACTGCATGGTATTACAGAGATAGTAGATGCTCCCTATAGTAAGTACACTGCACGGTATTACAGAGATAGTAGATGCTCCCTATAGTAAATACACTGCACATTATTACAGAGATAGTAGATGCTCCCTATAGTAAATACACTACACCGTATTACAGAGATAGTAGATCCTCCCTATAGTAAATACACTGCACCGTATTACAGAGATAGTAGATGCTCCCTATAGTAAATACACTGCACATTATTACAGAGATAGTAGATGCTCCCTATAGTAAATACACTACACCGTATTACAGAGATAGTAGATCCTCCCTATAGTAAATACACTTGCTGTTACCTCTATTTGTAACCTATATGAAGATTTCCACATACCACAGCTGTACATTTCAAATGACATGTGATAACATCAGAGAAACTGGCATCATCACTCTAGAAGTCAAGCTGTAGTGAACAGGAAATGTTTTTGCTAGACATTGAACATTTCTCAATAGTTCGGTTTATGATAATGTTGCATGTTTTTAAAACTGAAAAAAACAACTGCCTTGTGTAAATGAATCCTATACTCTTTTCTTTTGGGATCTCCACCAACACATAATCTCCTCACTGCAGCTATCAAGAAGCTTAACACAAGAGTGTCACTATTCCAGCTGCATTAGAAAAAAACAACAAAACCCCTGCACAGTGGTAGTAAAAAGAGAACTATAGGGGAACCTTTTTGCCCATAGTTCTCTTCAGGGTCACGAGAGGACATATACTAATGGCCTCCGGTGATCCAAAACTCAGTATATGCTGAGAGCGCTGCAGCCAGGACGGATCCTGACAATACTGTGGAGATCCACCCCGCTGGCTGATTGACAGCTGGCTGGGCCTATCTAGAGCACTGGAGAAACGGAGAGGGGAGAGCGGTGACTGATAGTCACTTGGGATGCACCGATACCAATACTAGTATCGGTGCCGAGTACTCATACTTGCCCAAATGCTCCGATGCATTAGCTTCCGGCATCAGGAAACCGGGCAGCGTGTCATTACATGGCGCCCGGCTTTCTTATTGCCCAGAAAGCCAGCTTCACGCTTCCTCATCACCTGGTGATGAGGGAGCATGGAGCCGGCTTCCCGGCCAATCAGGAAGCCGGGCGCCATGTAATGATGCGTTGCCCGGCTTCCTGATTAGCTAGCTTCTCAAACAATCAGTAAGCCGGGCAACGCGTCATTACACGGCGCCCCGCTTCCTGAGTGGCCAGAAAGTCGACTACATGCTTTCTCATCACCTGGTGACAAGCATGGAGAATTCTTCCCTGCTAATCGGGAAGCCAGATGGTGAGTCTTTACATGCCGGTATGGGTGCATCCCTAAGGCCTGGTTCACACCTGAACGTTTTGTAGCGCGTTCAACGCTCGCCGAACGCTCTACAAAACGCTCAAACATCTAAATCCCATTGTATTCAATGGGTCTGGTTCACACCTTGCCGTATTTCCGTCCCGTCCGAACGCGATACAAAACGGCCTACGCCCAAAGAAGTACATGTACTTCTTTGGGGCGTTTTGGTCTCGCGTTTCCATTGGGATACAGCCAAGTAGCCCACAGAAAACGCGCGTTTGTCGCGGGTTTTTTTTACCGCGAATCGCGGTAAGACCGCGCGAAAGACACGCATATTCAATATGCCCGGGTGTGAACCCAGCCTAATGTCACCGTTCTGTGCAGAGAGAGGATCAGGAAGTCAGAGATCGGCGGGATGTGTTTGCTCACGTCCTGATCAATAGAACAATTAAACATCATATATGTTAATGTTCTGAAGAAGTTTTCAATCTTGTAAATCTGTAGCTTTCATTAAAAGGTTAGGTATTCCTGCAACTAGCTTCCTTGCTTAGGCAATTCTTGTTACAGGGTGACAAGGATCTCTTCCCGTCTCCCATTTGTGCTGCTGCGTTGTTACCCTGCAAGAACGGCTTCCAACGGAGACCACAAGTGGCCATTTTAATACACATTTTGCAGTCTTGGTCCACTGTTATCACCATCAGGAAACCACCACTGAAGTGCACGTAGACAGGAAGATGCTGCAAACAGACTGCAGGAGATCAGCAGCATTATGAGGCAACAAAGTATGAAAAAAAGACAATTGTTTATGAGACGCAGTGCTCTAGCCAACAAAACGTCACTTATTACATTTAATATACTTTGGTACCCGGATAAATAAACTCGTGTGTGCATGCATGGGAGTTATGTCGTTCCAGCCCAGCCAATCAAGATGGTTGAACATGCTGAACCTTTTAGATTGTAGGCCCTCCTTACCATCTTGCCTTGAAATTGTAATATCTTCCTTATATTGTAAAGCGCTGTGCACACTGTTGGCGCTATATAAATCCTGTATAATAATAACAACCTGGACAGAAGATGTCGGCGCCATAGGGAGAACTTGCAGACTTTGCTCCGATGGAGGGGGGTTATCAATGCCTTGTGTAAAGTAAGTTACTCTTAGGTGTACAAACACATTACCTGCAGTATCCCAGATGGATATGTTGTAGGGTCCCCACTGTTTAAGGTAAAAGGCTCCCCCAACAGTGCTGACTGTGTCTTGAAACCGCCTCTCCATGTATCTGTGCAGCAGTGACGTCTTCCCCACATTCATGTCTCCCAGAAGGACCACTTTTAGATCTGGCTTCTTCATCATACTGCCACCAGCCATATTCAGATGTGCCCACAGCAGCTGCAGAGTGACAACAAGACCAAGCCGATTCTGCTTGAGAGAGTCTGAGCCATAAAACACAGTGCACAGATCCCTGCCTGCTCCATGCAAAACTCTGCTCAGATCCCTGCCTGCTCCATGCAAAACTCTGCTCAGATCCCTGCCTGCTCCATCCAGAACCCTGCTGAAATTCCTGCCTGCTCCATACAACTCAGAATGCCTGCTCCATGCAAAACTCTGCTCAGATCCCTGCCTGCTCCATCCAGAACCCTGCTGAAATTCCTGCCTGCTCCATACAACTCAGATCGTTGCCTGCTCCATCCAAAACTCTGCTCAGATCCCTGCCTGCTCCATGCAAATCAGATAACTACTTGCTCGATACAACTAAGCTCCTTACAATTCAAAAATCAGCTGGTTGCATACAACTTAACTCCTTGCCTGCTCCATCCAAAACTCTGCTCAGATCCCTGCATGCTCCATCCAAAACTCTGCTCAGATCCTTGCTTGCTCCATACACTTTAGATCCCCTCCAATGCTGTGAGCAGGCAGATGTGGAAATGCTGTGCTCCCAGGCTCCGGGTCAGCCGTTGTGCAGCCAGCTAACACTTATAGAAAACTTTGCTAAGTTGACAAAACAGGGAAGGAGTGATGAGTGCAGGAAGTGAGCGCTCTCCTCCAGCCCCCTCCCTGGCCGGGCTCCTCCCCGGTCTCCTCCATGATGGGCCCTGACCACACACACCATCTTCAAGTAGGTGACCCCGCAGCCGTGTACACAGAGCGGCGGCGTGTAATGGCCCGTACTGCGCATGCTCAGTGGGAGGTGACCGGAGCGCAGGAAATGACAGTGCATTCTCCGGTTTCAGGTGACTCAGACAGCCGTGTGATGTGAGGAGGGAGGAGGAAGGGGAGGTACCCGGAACAAACGGCTCTATCTCGGCCGATACTGACACGGAGCGGCGAGCACTGGCAGCCAGCAGCCGCCCTTCAGCCATGGCGACGTTTATCTCGGTGCCCCTGAAAAAGTCGTCCGAGATGGACCTGGTGAAGCCGCTGTCCAAGTTTATCCAGAACACGTACCCGGCCGGGGAGGAGCAGGCCGAGTACTGCCGGGCTGTGGATGAGCTGAACAAGCTGCGGAGAAGCGCGGTGGGCCGGCCGCTGGATAAACACGAGAGCTCGCTGGAGACCGTCATGCGATACTACGACCAGCTGAGCTCCATCGAGCCCAAGTTCCCGTTCTCCGAGGGCCAGCTGTGCCTCACCTTCACCTGGAAGGACGCCTTCGACAAGGGCTCCCTGTTCGGAGGATCCGTCAAGCTCGGCCTGCCCAGCTTGGGCTATGAGAAGACCTGTGTGCTCTTCAACATCGGCGCCCTGGCCAGTCAGATCGCCTCAGAGCAGAACCTCGACAACGACGAGGCCCTCAAGGCCGCCTCCAGGTACTACCAGCTGGCCAGCGGGGCCTTTTCCCACATCAAAGACACCGTGCTGTCCTCCCTGAGCCGGGACCCCACCGTAGACATCTCCCCAGACACGGTGGGCACCCTGAGTGTCATCATGCTGGCCCAGGCCCAGGAGGTCTTCTTCCTGAAAGCCACCAGAGACAAGATGAAGGATGCTATCATCGCAAAGCTGGCCAACCAGGCAGCAGACTTCTATGGAGACGCCTACAAGCAGTGCCAGTACAAAGATACTTTGCCCAAAGAGGTGTACCCAGTGCTGGCTGCCAAGCACTGCATGATGCAGGCCCACGCAGAGTACCACCAATCTGCCTTGGCCAAACAGCAGAAGAAGTTCGGAGAGGAAATCGGCAGGTTACAGCACGCCGCTGATCTGGTCAAAACGGTCAGTTCTAGGTACGACGAATACGTCAATGTCAAAGACCTGTCGGACAAAATAAACCGCGCCCTCACGGCTGCTAAAAAAGACAACGACTTCATCTACCACGATAGAGTGCCGGACTTAAAAGATCTCGAGCCCGTAGGCAAAGCGGCCCTCGTGAAATCGACTCCTATGGCAGTCCCCCTGAGTCAGAAGTACACTGATCTCTTTGAGAAAATGGTCCCGCTTGCCATACAGCAGTCTCTGAGCATTTACAACCAGAGGAAGGCGGATCTGATCAACCAAACCATCGCCAGGATGAGAGATTCCACAACCCTGTGTAATGGCGTTCTTGCCTCTCTGAATCTTCCTGCAGCCATTGAGGATGTTTCTGGTGACAGCGTGCCCCAGTCAATCTTACAGAAGTCCAAAGCCGTCATTGAGCAGGGTGGCATTCAGACAATTGACCAGTTGATCAGAGACCTGCCAGAACTTCTACAGAGAAATAAAGAAATTCTGGACGAGTCCCTCAAGTTTTTGGATGAAGAAGAAGCCACAGATAATGACTTAAAATCCAAGTTCAAGGAAAGATGGCAAAGAACACCTTCTACAGAGCTCTACAAACCCCTGAGAACTGAGGGCAGCAATTTCCGTAATGTTTTGGATAAAGCCATCACCGCTGATGCAGTTGTAAAAGAGCGCTACCAGTCTCAGAGAGAAGCCATAGCAATCTTGTGTAAGCCGGAAGCGGAGCTCAATGCGGCCATCCCATCTGCCAACCCTGCAAAAACCATGCAGGGAAGCGAGGTTGTGAACACCTTGAAATCATTGTTGGCCCAGCTGGATGAGATAAAGAAGGAAAGAGAGCAGCTTGAAAATGACATCAAATCTGTCAACTTTGACATGACCACCAAATTCCTCACGGCCCTGGCACAAGATGGTGCCATTAATGAAGAGGCTTTATCTGTGACTGAACTCGATCGGGTCTATGGAGGCTACACTGACCGAGTACAGAGAAACCTGACTAAGCAAGAGGAAATCATCAGCAATATTCAAGTGTCCCACCAGGAGTTTTCAAAGATGAAACAATCAAACAGCGAAGCTAATCTGAGAGAAGAGGTCTTGAAGAAATTGGCTGCAGGGCATGACAGCTACATAGAACTTGTAGCTAACCTAAGAGAAGGCACAAAGTTTTACAACGACCTCACCGAAATTCTTCTCAAGTTCCAAGGCAAGTGCAGCGATATTGTTTTTGCCCGAAAGACTGAAAGAGACGAGTTGCTGAAAGATTTACAGCAAAGCATTGCCAGAGAGCCAAGTGCCCCTTCAATGCCAGCAGTACCAAGTTATCAAAATGCTGCATCTTCCACTCCTGTTGCTGCTGGCATGTCGAGCATTCCAACTCCAGCACCAAGGACTGTCTATACTCCTAAACAACCTCCACCCCGTCCCCCGCCGCCTTCAGTTCCTGCAGGTGCACCTGCTGCTCCTGTTAGTGCAGCACAAAATTTTGCCCCTCAAGTAGCAAATCCTTCAGCCCCGGTGCCCTCGCAGCCTCTACCCAGCACCATTCCCTCACAGGCACAGGGTCCCCCATTTGCAACCTACCCGGGATATTCTGGCTACTATGGCATGCCAATGCCCGTTGGCTATAATCCATACATGTATGGCCAAACCATGCCTCCTTATCTGTACCAACCACAGAGTGGTCAGGCACCTTACCCAACACAGCAGCCTGGTTTTCCATGCCCACAACCACCATATTACCAGCCACCTCAGCAGTAAGCAGTGTGTAGAGAGAGATGCTTGTAAACTGAAAAATGTATGTTTCAGTTGCACTAAGTGCACTGTACCCTATGTACAACTCCCTAATTTCTGGGTTTTCTGACCTGTTTGAGTTAATCTTCTGATTGCACTAAGCTGTTTCTGCCTGTCCATTTGCATATCAGAATGATAAATGACTTAGTTTTGCCTGGCAAAATGACCTTGAGCTGATATGGGGTTTCTTTGAGAATGTGCAAATATCCCTGGTAACACTATGCTCTTTCATATGTAAAATGGGGTTGGAAGTTCTATTTTTTTTTTTCTTTCTCTGTTTTTACTTTTCATTTCTTTATGGTTTAGTTATTGTATGCTATTTTGTCTATTAATCAAAAGCCTTGTAAATCATAATGAAAAAAAAAATAAATCTAAAAAGCACAGCAGTGTTTGCAGAAGCTGGATCAAAGTTGACTCTTCTTTCACAGTTTATAAAACCAGTTGTAGATTTCTAGATGCTTTTCAGTGATTGTGTAGAAATCTTAGTTGTCGCCTGTAAGAGAATGTAAAGAGCATAGCACTGGAATTGCTGTATTTTTTCTTCTCAGAAGGTGAGTTACAGGTTAACGCTGCACTTGCTGTAAGTGACAAAATGGGAATCTGACTCTTGTGAATGGCGTCTGTTAGTTTCAGTGTGTAATAGGATATGTATACACTCTTGAGTTCCTGAACTCCAGCCACATTGACAGAGATCTCTACTAGGGATAAGCAAATTGGTTTACAAATCCAGGCAAATTTAGATTCTTTCTAAGTATATACATGCAGCAGACCTTTTCCAACGTGAGGAGAGTTGTCTTGTTTTTTATTTTTTTTTGTCACTTTTGTATTCCTGAAATGCTACTTTTTACATCTGATGGATATGTTTGGAAATATGCAGCTGAAACCAAAGTGGTTGATTCTGATGGAATAAAGATAATGATTTTCATGGGGCTTGGTCACATAAAAATCTGCTGCAAGCATTGTTCCAGAGTAGTGATGTGTATGGGCTTGGTGTGGACTCAGTTCACCAGATTTTGCCCAAGCTTGCGCAAAACTGTCAGTGACCCACCCCCCATCTGGGACATGTGAACAAGCCCTATGAAAATCTGCTGCAAGTTGTGTTCCAGAGTAGTGATGGGTTTGGTGTGAACCCAGTTTGCTCAAGCTCATGCTAAACTGTCAGTAACCCACCTCCCTCCTGCCCCAATCAGTTGCAGCCGGGGCATTCCCTGCCGGTACACTTAAAGGTGCAGGAAATGCCCCGGTCTCCACTAATTGGGAAGGGGGGCGCTATCAGTGTGAATGAAGTGCAAGCATGTTTCTCCAAGAAGGTGCATCACCTGTATGGTGGTAAAATAAGCTTCTGCCCACTTTACACCTGATCCAGTTTCCTTTAAAAACATAACAGCAAATTCTTTAAAGTTGCTAAAGGTAAGGACCGAGACATGTAGAATGCATATTAAAAATATATATATATACACATAGAAATGTTTGAAAAAACTACTTGTCCAAGGACTAAAGCAGGGGCTTATCTACTTGTCCTGATACAAAAAAAATTGATTTGAACCAAAACTGTATTTTAGTAGTGCTAAGAAGCGCTTCACATTGGTCAGTGCCGTCAGGTCACTGCGTTGACCAACAAGTGCTTGCAATTTGCGAGCGAAATTCAGAATACATGGAACATGCACAGATGGTACACCCGTACTGGTGGATGGGTAGGACCGTTCGCCGAAAGGTAAGTATAGTGGGAGGGAGATTTGTGCGAGTAATTTTTCGCTCCATAAGACACACTTTTTTCCCCCCAAAAGGAGGGGGAAAATGTGCCTGCGTCTTATGGAGCGAATCCCGACGCCCGAGACATGCAGTTTTGGGCACCGGGCGAGTAGTAGGAGCCACTGCTCGTTTAATACGAGTGATCTAATGAGATCACTCGTATTAAAGCCGAGCAGCGGCGGCGGCGATCGTATTCAGCAGTAGGAGCCACTGCTCGTTTAATACGAGTGATCTAATGAGATCACTCGTATTAAAACCAAGCAGCGGCGACTATCGAGATCACCATAGAGCAGACGAAGAACGGACTTTCTTCGTCTGCTCTGTGTGATCACTGAGACCGTGGCGCTGTAATCACACGGTTTCACAATGTAATAATCACAGCGCCACCTGTCTCAGCGGTCACTAACTGCAGCTTCTGTCACAGCTTCTGTCATAGAAGCTGTGTCAGAAGCTACAGTCTGTCGAGTGCTCCATAAGGCGCGCCGGACCTCCCTGCGTCCTATGGTCCGGTGCGTCTTATGGACCGCAAAATACGGTACATTTTCCCAAATTACTTGGGAAAGTGAATTTACCCTTTAGGGTTGGTGCAGACTTGGGGATTGCTGGGACGTGCGATCGTGTGCGGTTGCATACACCGGTTGCATCTGCATGTATGGGGTTACATCTGCGTGACGATCGCTGGAGAAAAAAAGTAGCTGTACCTATTTTCACGACATGCACCGCGCAGTGTTTTCAACTGTGATTGTGTGGGATCGCCCGGGCGGTATTGCAGCAGGTAAACGTGCAATCTGCCTGCCACGACTGAGGTGCAATTAGAAAATAATGGCACTGACAGCACGATCGGCGGTGACTATGTGTCCCGGGCGATACGAATTCCACACCCCTATCTATCTATCTATCTATATATATATATAT